TAGAATAGAATAGAATAGAATAATAGAATAGAATAGAATAGAATAGAATAGAATAGAATAGAATAGAATAGAATAGAATAGAATAGAAATAAGGAATGGAATAGAAAATATGGAATTGAATAGAATGCAGAATAGAATACCCCTATCTTGTCGGAGCTTTTCATCTCAGATACTAAATTTAACAGATTAACAGAGTTGGGAGGGATCTTGCAGGTCATCTAGTCCAACCCCCTGCCCAAGCAGGAGACCTTACATCTGCCTCTACCTAGGATTGAACTCACAACCTCCTGATGGTTGCTTAACGCATTGTAAGCCGCCCTGAGTCTCCGGAGAAGGGCAGCATATATATATATATTTTAAAAAAATGGTGAGGCAAGCGCTCCACCTCTAGGCCACTTTTAATGACTCCATAATCCCTTGCGGGGTGGAGTCTGGGCAACCGAATGGAGCTGAGTGTTTTTTACTGGCCTGGATGCCTTTCCTGTCGCCAGTGCGGAGTTATATTCAGCAGATAATTATTCTCATTGTGCCCAGAGAGAGAGAAATATCTGCCTCTACTTAGGATCGAACTCACAGCCTCTGATGGTGAGGGCAAAGCTCCACCTCTAGGCCACTTTTAATGACTCCATAATCCCTTGCGGGGTGGAGTCTGGGCAAACCGAATGGAGCTGAATGTTTACTGGCCGGATGCCCTACCTGTCGCCAGTGCAGAGTTATATTCAGCAGATAAAATTCTCATCATGCCCCAGAGAGAGAGAAATATCTGCCTCTACCTTAGGATCGAACTCACAGCCTCCTGATGGTGAGGCGAGAGCTCCCCCTCAAGGCCACCACACCACCACTCATCTTTCCGGAGCTTTTCCTCCCAATTAATTGCAACTGCCCTTCCTCGTCTTTGATTGGAGTGGTCAGCGCCGGTTATCTGCCCGCGTGGCTACAAAGCCCGAAGAGTTAGCAAAAAAGTGCGTGCCGCGAAGCCAACTTGAGAGGGTCGTGCAAAAACCCTGGGAACAGGGCCGGCTTCTCCCCCCCGTGCATCGTATAATTGGGAAGCTGCCTGAGCACCGAGCCAATTGTGCGCTCGTGATTGTATTGTCTCCGTCAAAAAATGTGTCGGGAGACAGTGATTAGGCCACAGGAGGGTCTCCCATTTCTGCCAATTTGCTGCTATTCGACCATGGAGAGCTGCTAGAAAATTCAAACAAAAGGGTCTGTGTTCCAGAACTGCATGCCGGGTGGAGTGGGAGAAAACCCTGATCCTGTTTTAATATTTTATCTGATGATTGCCTTCCAAGGAAAAAAAGAATATTGAGGCAGCCGGCAGCTGCTTCCTGCTCCTTTTCATCTTCCCAAACGGCGGCCTTCGTTCCTTAACCTCAGAAATAAGGAGGAAGGTTCCTTTCAGCTCTTTTGGTGCGCTCCCCGAAAAACTGCCGCGTGTCCCTTAAAAAGCCCATCCACGGTGTAGCTAGGCAGACTATCCGGATGGCTTCCTTGGGAGGGAGGGAAGGAAGGAAGGAAGGAAGGAAGGAAGGGAGGGAGGGAGGGAGGGAGGGAGGGAGGGAGGGAGGAAGAGCATGATTGGCATTGGGAGAAAGGGGAAAAGAAAAGGAACATTTGGCACTTTGGAGGGAGAGAGGAAGGAAGGAAGGAAGGAAGGAAGGGGGGAGAGGGAGAGGGAGAGGGAGAAAGAGGAGAGAGGGGAGAAAGCAAGGAGAGAAAAAGATTGTGTGTGAAAGAGGAGGGAGGGAGGGAGGAAAGGAAAGGGAGGAAAGGAAAGGGAAAAAAAGAAAGGGAGGAAGGAAATGAAGGAATGAAAAGGAGGGAGGGAAAGAGTAAAGGGAAGGGAGGGAAGGAATGAAAGGGAGGGAGCGGAAGAGTAAGGGGAAGGGAGGAAAAATGGGAGGGAGGGATGGAATGAAAGAGGGAGGGGGAGGGAGGAAAGAAAGGAGAGAGGGAAAAATAAAAGGGAGAAAGGAAGGGAAGGAATAGGAAGGGAGGGAAAGGAAGAGAAAGAGAAAGAGAGAGAGAAAGAAAAAGAAAGAAAGAAAGAAAAAAAATGGAGAGGGAGGGAAGGGAATGGGAAGGGAAGAAAAGAATGAAAGGGAAGGAAGGAAGGGTGACCTACACAGTTTGTTTGGCTTCCCAAGGACAATGATCTCTGTGCAAGAGGAATTTTGTCACTTAACATCTTTGCAAAGGACCTTATTCTGCCTGGAATCCATGACAAAGTGAGATTTACGAATTCAGCTTGCCAGGCTGCGAAACTACATGAGGGCTTCATTTGGAAGGGGCAGGTTTCCAGCCCATGGCATTTCCGTGTCTCTCTGTGTCGAGAATTGTGTTGTTTATTTGGGGAAGTGTTTCAATGTTGGTTTCCATCACTTAGTCCTTCATTTTGCATTTTGGCTCCCGTTTCCCAAGTTCCTTCTTTCTCGTCTGACCTTCCAGGGATGGTTCTGTATTTTTTCGGGTTCCTTGATGGCCATCTGGTGGCCACGCAAGGAAAGATTTCAGATCTATGCAGAATCAAAAGACAACTGCCTGGACTAGAGCTGCAATTATTATTATTATTATTATTATAAACTTTTATTCATTAAACATGAAACTCAGTCAACTGAACATTTAAAAACGTATTGTAAATATCATTGACTGACGTTGATGGTTGATACGGATTGCTGCCAGCATCCTAGATATTGACCAGGCATCTTCTTAAAATATTATTATTATCAGTATCATTATTAGTATTATTAGTAGTAGTATATCTCTTTTATTTATTAAATATGAAACTCCATCAACTGAACATTTAAAATTGTACCACAAATATTATTGACTGGGACTGATGGTTGATATGGGTTGCTGCCAGCATACTAGATATCGACCAAGTATCTTCTTAAAATATTATTATTATCATTATTAGTATTATTATTAGTAGTATATCTTTTATTTATTAAACATGAAACTCAGTCAACTGAACATTTAAAAACGTATTGCAAATATCATTGACAGACGCTGATGGTTGATACGGATTGCTGCCAGCATCCTAAGTTTCAACCAAGTATCTTCTTAAAATATTATTATCATTATCATTATTAGTATTATTGTAGTATATCTCTTTTATTTATTAAACATGAAACTCAGTCAACTGAACTTTTAAAATTGTATCGCAAATATCATTGACTGGCGCTGATGGTTGATACGGATTGCTGCCAGCATCCTAGGTATCAATCAAGTATTTTCTTAAAATATTATTATTATCATTATTAGTATTATTAGTATTAGCATATCTCTTTTATTTATTAAACATGAAACTCAGTCAACTGAACATTTAAAAATGTATTGCAAATATTATTGACTGGCACTGATAGTTGATATGGGTTGCTGCCAGCTTCCTAGGTATCAACCAAGTATCTTCTTAAAATATACGATGCTCTGAGTAGTACAGTTTTTTGCAGTTCCGCTGGTGTTATTGCAGGAAGCTGCAATTTCTCAATGTACTTTATAAAATTCTTGGACATGGTGCCAAGTGCCCCGATGACAATGGGTTATCCCTGTTACATGTTTCATCCATAATCGCGTAATTTCGATGGCCAGGTCGCGATATTTCGTGATCTTTTCCAGTTCTTTTTCTTCGACTCTGAAGTCTCCTGGTACAACGATATCAATAAACTGAACAATAAAAATGGGTGTGGAGCCCTCTTGGAACTGCTGAAAGGACTGTGTGTAAACAGGAGAGAGGTGGTATCGTATCCCCCTTCCCTCTGTTGAGAGAGGGATATTCAGTCAATTTACAACACAGTCCTTTTGGCAGTTCCAAGAAGGATCTACACCAAGGGTGAAATCCTCTGAAGTCTGTTACCGAGAGAGCGCTTTGCGCGCACGTGCTCGCTTTGCGCACGTGCGCGCCTGAGGCGCACCCCTGCAGCGCTAAAAAAGGAACATTTTAAAGCCTTCCGAATCTGCAAAGGTATGTAGAACAGCGAGGGGGGGGGAAATCTGCTGTGCCACGTGATTTAGATTAGCTAGAAAGCAGGAAATCCGACAGTTCTAGCTAATTTAAATCACGCGTCACAGCTGATCGTCACCCGGCTGATTGTCGGAAATACCGGTTCGCCCAAATCGGTAGCATTTTTTACTACCAGTTCCGCCCAAACTGGTCCGAACTGGTAGGATTTCATCCCTGATCCACACCCATTTGCACGCTTCAGGTGACTCTGAGGGTATGGATAAACCTCCAAGTGGTCTCAATAATTCTCAGGAAGAGTACTAACAACCAGATGGCTACAAAGAATATAAACCAGTGATGGCGAACCTTTTTGCCGTCACATGCCAAAAGCGGGAGGAGCCGGGGGGGTCATGCATGCACGTGCCCACACCCATAATTCAATGTGCCCCATCCCCCATGCTTTTGGCACGTGATGGCATGATAGGCCCATTTTTTGCCCTTCCCAGGCTCCAGAGGCTTTCTAGGAGCCTGGGGAGGGCGAAAATGGCCTTCCCCACCCCCTTGGAGGCCGGAAATGGCCCATTTGCTGATTTCTGGTGGGACCTAGAAAGGCTCTGGAGCCTGGGGAGAGTGAAAAACGGGCCTTCCCCCCCCCGGAGGCCAGAAACAGCCTGTTTCCCGACTTCCAGTGGGCCCGGAAGGCCCGAAAGTCAGCTGGCCGGCATGCACATGCGTGCCGGAGCTGAACTAGGGCAATGCTCACGTGCCCACCAATACAGCTCTGCGTGCCACCTGTGGCATGCATGCCATAGGTTCGCCATCACGAATATAAACCATTCCATTCTCCGCCATTCAGTCAGAACTGAAGAAGCTTCTTGGAAGGGAAGCGAAACTTCTTCAAGGAAAAAAAAGGCTAGTTGCCTTTTGGGGAAAAAAAAACCCCACTTTTGGGACAGTATAGTAAATGGTGGTTTCACTCAAATAAGCTAACGCCATTCCTCTCGCAGAAGGCGGAGTCGGAACTTAAACGTTACACCCTCTTTTATCATTTTAGGCTTTGAATTGCTCTACCAACCGGAAGTCGTGCGGCTTTACCTCTCAATTCTCACCGAAAGTCAGAATTTCAATACTTTGGAGGCGGCAGCCGGCGCGCTGCAGAATCTCAGCGCAGGAAACTGGACAGTGAGTGAAATCCCAGTGTGTCTTGGCTATTTTTCACGGTAAACAGTTCCTCCATTTTCAGGAACGCAGCGTTTCTCAAACTTGAAAACACGTGGACTTCAAATCCCCAGAATTCCCCAGCCTGCCATGGTTGGGGAATTCTGGGCGTCGAAGTCCACATGGTTTTAAAGTTTCCGAGTTTGAGAAATGGCAAAAAAAAAAAAAATCGATGTTCCAGCCCAACAAATCCAGGCTAAAATTACTTGTATTGATATCGGTGAAAATTAACAAGAACCTTGCAAGTCTGAATGTCCTTCCCTCCCCTTCCCTCCCACCCAACCCCACTCGTGTGAATTAGGGAGGGGTCTGCCCAAATGGCTTGCGCCTAACCTCTTCGTGTTCTGGCTATAAACCATGTTCTCGCCTTGTCACTTGGGTAATGCATCTGGATAATTATCTCTGTCAGGATCGTCTTCACGCCAAGACATCTAGACAACAAGATCTGGGAGAAGTCTATTAGCATTCTCCGGCAACCCTTGGGAAATTACTCATTTCAGACAGAACTGAATCACTCTTCCCCAACCATTGATCAATTTTGCTAGGAAAGACTATAACTTTGCATTTAGAAGTAAGGCACTAAGCCATAGTCTGTCCCAGGAGATACATTTTCCCAAGGTTTCGGTCTTTAGAAGTTGCACACCGCTATCGTGGCCTTCATTTCTTCCAGAATACAGATTTTTTATTTTTTTTTATTTTTTTTTATTTGATTTATATGCCGTCCTTCTCCGGAGACTCAGGGCAGCTTACAATGCGTTAAGCAATAGCCTTCATCCTTTTGTATATTTATACAAAGTCAGCTTATTGCCCCCCACAAACTGGGTCCTCATTTCACCTACCTTAGAAAGGATGGAAGGCTGAGTCAACCTTGAGCCTGGCGAGATTCGAACCTGCAGTAATTGCAGGCAGCTGGTCTTAATAATAGGGTGCTTTAGACCTCTGTACCACCAAGGCTCTGTACTACCAAGATTAATCTAGTTACTTAAGTTTCTGCATTGAGTCTGGTAACCTGTTCTGACCAGATCCACAAACACGATCAATCCTCAAAGATTCCTTTATTAGGAGCGCCGACAGCCCCGGCAAAAAGTTTCTCTCTAACCGCAGGCTAACAAGTCTGTCCGGCAGGGAGATGAATAGTTGTCTGCCACACCTATTCATCTCCGCCCCCTGCCTTTTATCCCCACAGTTAGGGTGGGGCTTCGGCAGCAGCGGTGGCTCTTCCGTCCCAAGGACCGGCCCATAGATTTCCACTGCTCTCCTCTCCTCTGCCTTCTCCACATCTGCATATCAGGCACTGGACCCAGCTGTTCCTCCTCTTCCTCATCAGTCACCTCCAGACCTGGGGGCTGTTGACTCTCCATCTGAGGGCTGACGGATGGCCCAGGCTTCTCCCCCCCTCTCTCTGCCAGCTCCATTCCCTCTTCCCACTCGGAGTTCCCAGGTTGCCTTGATGCTGATCCTGACTCAGGGGTGAAATGCTCCCAGTTTGGACCGGATTGCCCGATCCAGTAGCGATGGCGGCAGGTGGTTCAGAGAACTGGTAGCAAAAATCCCTGGGGACCCCCCCTCCCCATGCCCAGCTGAGCTGCACGATCATCAGAGGCTTTTTTTTTTAACTTTTAAAAGCATTTTTTCTACCACCTCTTCCGACGAAAAAATGCTTTTAAAAGTAAAAAAAAAAAAAGCCTCTGATGATCGCGCGACTCAGCTGGGATCGTCAGAGGCTTTTCAAAGCATTTTTTTCTGCAACCTCTTGGCCGAAGAGGTGGTAAAAAAAATGCTTTGAAAAGTCTCTGACGATCCCAGCTGAGTTGCCTGATCGGCAGAGGCTTTTCAAAGCATTAGAAAAAATGCTTTGAAAAGTGTTTTTTTTTTAAAAAAAAGTTGGCCACGCCCACCCAGTCACATTACCCCCCCACCAAGCCACGCCCACAGAACGGGTAGTAACAAATTTTACATTTCACCCCTGTCCTGACTAATCCTTCAAAGTGGCTGGTTTTTATCTTTTTCCTTCCTCCTTGGAATAGTGGTCTACATACATCCGGGCAACGGTACGAAAGGAACGAGGACTTCCCGTCCTGGTGGAGCTCCTCCAATCGGATTCGGATAAGGTGGTGAGAGCGGTATCCATAGCCCTGCGAAATCTCTCCATGGATCGCCGGAACAAGGATCTCATAGGTGAGTTTTGGAAGGGGATGGCCAGGTGCGAAAGAGAGAAGGCCGCGTTCCAATTAAGCTGATTTATTGCTCGTGCTTAGATGACGAAGATCCATTTTACAACCTTCCTTGCCCCGGCTGTAAAGTGAGTCACTGTAATTGTTAAGTGAGGGACATGGTCGTTAAGTGAATCTGGCTTCCCCCACCTACTTTGCTTATCAGAAGGTCGCAAAAGGGGATCATGTGACCCCAGGACACGTCATAAATATGAATCAGTTGCCGTATTGTGTCCATATTTTGATCACGTGACTTCAGGGAGACCACAATGGTTGTGAGTGTGAAAAGCGGTCCTAAGTCATTTTTTTCGTTGCCGGTGTAAATTTGGACAGTCACTAAACGAGCTGTTGTAAGTCAAGGACTGCCTGTACAGCTAGTCCTCGCTTAGTGGACACAATTGGGACTGGCAACTCCATCACTGCCCTTTCTTGGGTGCTAGATTCTCTCTAGAGTGAGTGGGAACGAAAAATAGAATAACAGAGTTGGAAGGGACCTTGGAGGTCTTCTAGTCCAACCCCCTGCTTAGGCAGGAAACCCTACACCACTTCAGACAAATGGCTATCCAACATCTTCTTAAAAACTATGAGGATCCATTTTTCAATTGGGGGGGTTTAAGGCAGCCATTTGAACCAAATTTTTTTACTACCGGTTTTGTGGGTGTGGCTTGGTGGGGGTGTGGCTTGGTGGGTGTGGCAGGGGAAGGATACTGCAAAATCCCCATTCCCTCCCCACTCCTGGGGGAAGGATATTGCAAAATTCCCATTCCCTCCCCACTCCTGGGGGAAGGATACTGCAAAATCCCCATTCCCTCCCCACTACTATAAATCAAATTAATAATAATAATAACTCCTGGGGGAAGGATATTGCAAAATTTCCATTCCCACCCCACTCCTGAGGAAAGATACTGCAAAATCCCCATTCCCTCCCCACTCCTGAGGAAAGATGCTGCAAAATCCCTATTCCTACCCCATTCCAGGGAAAGGATATTGCAAAATCCCCATTCCCTCTCCACCCCTGGGGGAAGGATATTGCAAAATCTCCATTCCCTCTCCACCCCTGGGGCCAGTGAGAGGTGGTATTTGCCGGTTCTCCGAACTACTCAAAATTTCCGCTACCGGTTCTCCAGAACCTGTCAGAACCTGCTGGATTTCACCCCTGTTTTGAACCCTACAACTTTTGAGTCTGGTCCTTGTTGTGTCCTGGTCTTGCCCACGTTGTGTTTGCCATTTGGAGCCTCTCTAACAATTGCCCGTCTTCCTTTTAAATCAAAAGAGGGAGGGGGAGGAAAATCCCAGTGTTTGATAACGTTGAAAGCAACCAGCCGCCGTTACTTCTGAAATAAATGCTTTATAATGGCTAGTATTCCACAAGGACTCGTGCAGTTTAATTGGGCTAATTGCAGTGAAATTTAGAGGAGAATTAAAATTCCCCAAACCAAACAACAAAGGTTAATAGTACGATATTTTATATGATGGGCAAAAAAAAAATAAAAATAAAAATGAATGAGATGCCAAACGCAAATTCGCTGATGGATCTCAGAAACGTGAAACCGGATTGGTGGCCTTGCGGGATTCCTGGAATCGGTTTTAATCTTCTGTGTCATAAAAGGGTTTTAAGCAGGGGTAGGTTCTACTTACCTTTACTACCGGTTCGCAATGGGGCCGCGCGCGCATGCGCAGATACTTCCTGATGACGTCGGGGTCGGTGGGCGGAGCCTTCCGCCGGTTTTACTACCAGTTCTATCGAACCGGTCCGAACCAGGGGCAACTTACACTGGTTTTAAGCCTCACTGATATTTTTCGGAGATGTACCAGAAAATGAACGGGTGGTCTTTCCATGTTGCAAGGACAGATAGTCCTCGACTTACGACAGTTTATTTAGTCACCAAAGTTACAACGGCACTGAAAAAAGTGAACCGGGAGGAACCCACCACTGGCCAGTTGCCAAACACCCAAATTTCTCCGAGTATAAGAGGCACTCTTTTCCCACCCATCCCAAAAAAGGGTGAAAATTTGGATGCGTCTTATACACTGAATGTAGCCACGCCCACCTACTGGCCCCCACCCTTTGGGTTCTGCCTCCCAGCAATTTGACTCCTTGCAGCAAACAGCCCAGCTTCAGCACAGCCTGATTAGCACAAGCAGCTGATTGTCAGTTGGATCGGCCTCCCAACCATCAGCTGTGTCAGGCTGCAGGGATTGCCATTGCCTATTGCCACCTCCATGCACCCCATTTTTGGCCTTTGCTGTTTGCTGCAAGGAGGCAAATTTGCTGGGAGGCAGAGGCAGATTTTTTTTCTTGTGCTAATCAGGATGTGCTGAAACTGAAACAGGCTGTTTGCTGTTTGCTGCAAGGAGGCAAATTGCTGGGAGTTAGAGGCAGAGGCAGATTTTTTTTTCTTGCTTTCCTCCCCAAAAAAGGTAGGTGCGTCTTATACTCCAAAGAATACGGTAATTCCTGGAACACGGCTACCATCATAAGTGCAATGGTAACTCCCTTGTTACAGCACCATCGTAACTTCATGCAGCTGCTCAATGAATGGTCACAAGTCAAGGACTATGCATACAGGTTATATCTTTAACCATAGCTGCCTTATTTTTCAGGAATCAAACCAGTTTGCAATGACAGATGCGCCTTCTGATTTCAGGTAGCTATGCCATGGGGGAACTGGTACGAAATCTGCCTAGCCGGCAACAGCGATCTTCAAAAAACCTTGAAGAGGACACAATAGTTGCCGTCCTGAACACCATCCACGAAATCATTACCGACAGTTCTGAAAATGCCAGGTCCCTGATCCAGACGCAAGGCATTCAGAAGCTGGTTGCCATCAGCAAATCCAGGTTAGCATCTGCAAAAAAATATTTCCAATAACGTACAAAAATATCAAGGCATAAGAAGATGGCTTTAATTACATCATATACTCTGGAACTTCCTAGTCTCAGGCGCTTGATGTTGTGTTGACTTCAGCTCCTAGCAAGGGCTATCTGGCTGGGGGATTCTGGGAGTTGAAGTCCATACCTAAGGAAGTGACTTCCGATATTCTTCCCAATAGTGATAAGTACAATGATAGTTTAACGTCTCTCTTTATAGTGACGTAGTGGCTCCGTGGCTTAATGATGACTGAGATGGTCTCAGCTCTGGCGGTTCGAGCCCAGGCACTATGTGGCAAGGTGGGCTCCTGTCCCTTTTCCCAGCCGCTGTCCACCTAGCAGTTAGAAAGCAAGTTCTATGCAAGTAGATAGATAGGTACCACTTCGCTGGGGAAACATGTTTGGTGCTCTGTGCAGGCAGTCAGATTCCTGACAGCTCTGAACCTTCCTGGTTGTGGTGCCCATTTGCAAGGCAGCGCCAAGAAGGGAGGGACCTTGGTGATGCCGCAGGAAGAGCCGCTGGTCTTTCTGTCTGGTGCTGTGCCAGCTTGCGCTCTTGTGGGGCACCTTGGGAAGCATGCAAGCATGTCCCACAACAGGGCTGGACTCTTGGCAAGCCAAACTACTACTCTACAATAACATTGTGGTCTCCTGGCTACTGTAACGATGCCATATGATGATAATGATGAACATAATAATAACAACAACAACAACAACAACAACAACAACAACAACAACACCTAGGCAAGCACTTAAAAACAATTGGCGCTGGATACGAAATCCAGCATGGTCATCTCGTTTGCTGTGTATACTGTCATAATAATAATCATCTCTCTCTCTGAAGTGACATTGTGATTCTCTTTCTCTCTATAATCTTTCCCGTCTGGCATCACACCTACCCTACATTTCCCAAAAAAACACCCCACAGCATCTCCTGAAGACACATTTGTTATTGCCAATCTGGAAAATGTGAAAGTCTCTTGATTTGCGATTGACAAATGTTTATTAGTTTATCAATAAGTATAAAATGCAAAGAAAATGAAAATAATGGGAAAGTAAGGGAGGGAAAAGAGAAGAGGAAAAAGTGTAGGGGAAATGGAAAAAGATTGACTTCCGACTCTTTTTAGTGTAATACGATCTATTTATCTATCTTATCTATATATATATATATATATATATCCATCCATCTATCTATCTATCTATCGTATCTGTCTATCTATCTATCTATCATCTATATCTATCAACAATCAATCAATCAATCATCCCATATCTGTCTGTCTGTCTGTCTGTCTGTCTCTATCTATCTATCTATCTATCTATCTATCTATCTATCTATCTATCTATCTATCTATCATCTATATCATCTATCTATCTATCATATCTATCTATCAACTATCAATCAATCTATCATCCTATATGTCTATCTATATCATCTACCTATCAACTATCTTTCAATCTATCATCTATCTATCTATCTATCTATCTATCTATCTATCTATCTATCTATCTCTATCTATCTATCTATCATCTATCTATCTAGAATAAGATTCTATATTCTGTAAAATAGCATAATAGAATAAGGTTCTATGTATCTACATACAGCCTCAACCTTTTACTTTTGCACAATAGTATATACATATATATAAGCCATTTCTATAACAACAAACCTACCTGATCAACAAAACCCAAAATCAAAGTTTCAATTTTTCCCCCCACCTCGAGCACAAAGCCCAGCACCGGTTTCCAAGTAGAAATGGAGTTGGTTCCGTTCTTTTCTTGAGTTAAAGGAGTCAATTTAACCATCTTTGCTAACTCAGCTTTCGAAGCCGAAAGTTTCTGATTGAATTGTAAGATGGATGGTCCTGAAACAAGAAACCCCAAATCTCACCCGTCTTTCACATCTCCAGAAGCGAGGCCCCCTCCCCTCGTTTTTCAAGACGAGCATTTAAAACAGATGCCATCACCACGCATCTTTAAATCTGCCATAAGCCGGAGTGGACACTGAGGCAAAATCAATCCGATGAAACTCATCAGTCAATGCCGGGACAAAAATCCCCTGGCTGTCCGTTTCAGCGTTGAGCATGCAAGCATAAAAGCTTCATCATTTAAGCAAATCCAGACATTTATTGGCAAAAAGAGAAGATGCTTGTCCTTTGCGAATATTCAGAGATACGGAAAAGCAGGGAGGAAGATTGTTAATAAAATAAAGGGGGCTGTTGGGAAGATGTTGGCAGGAAGCGGAGGAGAATCTGGGGAAAAAAATCTTTACTTGGATCCCAACAGCTCTATTGTATTATTTACTAATTTGAAAGATTAATGGGGCGGCCCAATTCATAGCAATGACTCAAGGAAACCATTAGAGAAAGAGAAAAGTATGTATGTGTGTCTTTGTGTTTTAGCCTGACGCAAAGACTGTCTTTCTATGGCAGTGAAGACGAAGCTATGACACGCGTGTCACAGGCGGCACAACACAATGTTCAGGGTGACACACCACTAATCGTCAATGTCAAACAACAACTGTTGTCAAAAGCACACTGCTCTCACATGGAGGCTGGGGCGGGGACCACACAAGAATGGGGTGTGCTCCTGCACAGCCTGCGGATACCCCCCCCCCCAGAAGTCGCTCAAGGGGGCCATGCCCTTGTGCTTTTCAGAGGGACCTTTGGACGCTCTGAAAATCAGAAGTCGAGAAGGGATGCGGTGGCTCAGTGGCTAAGACGCTGATCTTGTCGATCGAAAGGTCGGCAGTTCAGCGGTTCAAACCCCTAGCGCCGCGTAACGGGGTGAGCTCCCGTGACTTGTCCCAGCTTCTGCCAACCTAGCAGTTCGAAAGCACGTAAAAAATGCAAGTAGAAAAATAGGGACCGCCTTTGGTGGGAAGGTAACAACGTTCCATGCGCCTTTGGCATTGAGTCATGCTGGCCACATGACCACGGAGACGTCTTCAGACAGCGCTGGCTCTTCGGCTTTGAAACGGAGATGAGCACCGCCCCTTAGAGTCAGGAACGACTAGGACATATGTGTGAAGGGAAACTTTACCTTAATTGTGCCATCGAGTGCCACTGTTCGGGGTGACCTAGATAGGGGAGGGAGACAGAGAATTGTTTCTCTTTGGTTTGGGGGTCAGAGTGACACATCAGCAAAGTCAAGTTAGACATTTTCTGAATTGTTGACACGCTGAGACCAAAAGCTCTCCATCGGTGTTCTAGGACATAATCCATAATCCTGTAATTGGCCCAGATAAATCACACATTCATACAGACTCTGGATGCTCCTTATCTGATCAATTTTTCAGCATCTTAATTCCTACGTTGACCAAGTAGCTGCTTCTCAGAAGCGTGCCAACCATGTTGTGAGGACAGTCCTTCCCTGATCTTTTCACACCATCAGAGCATAGTAAGAATGATAAAGGAGCATATTTATAGCTCAGGGTTGAAATGAAGGGTCCTTGGTACTTCCTGAGCTTGGTGATTTTCTGGCAGACGTTTCAAACTAGATAGCATTATCAAAATGGCACTCATGTTACCTAGTTTGGCTAATGAAACATTTGCAAGGAAACAACCCAGCTCAGAGAGAACCAAGGACCCCCTAATCCTAACTACATTCATTATGGGATAAATAAGACCATCGGGAAACTCCTCAATTTTGTGGCTGGTTTGATGTTTGTAGAAGACAAACTCAGCATTCAGTTGAAGGTAAAGGTAAAGGTTCCCCTCACACATATGTGCTAGTCGTTCCCGACCTCTAGGGGGCAGTGCTCATCTCCATTTCAAAGCTGAAGAGCCAGCGCTGTCCGAAGATGTCTCCGTGGTCGGCATGACTCAGCGCCAAAGGTGCGCGGAGCACTCTTACCTTCCCACCAAAGGTGGTCCCTATTTTTCTACTTGCATTTTTTACGTGCTTTCGAACTGCTAGGTTGGCAGAAGCTGGGACAAGTTACGGGAGCTCACCCCGTTACGCGGCACTAGGGATTCGAACCACCGAACTGCCGACCTCAGTCTTAGCCACTGAGCCACTGTGTCCCTTTTATTCTTTTATTCTTTATTCTTTTATTATTCAGTTGAAAGCGCCATGGGAATCAGGACCTGACAGCTCCAAGAGAACGGGTTCCTGGTGGTTTCTGTTGTCCTAAGTGAGGACAATAGAAAGGAGTTGTCTTCTAAGATCTGTGGTCAGCTTTAGTTCATCTGATAGTTATCTAGCCTTGCTTTGTCAGTCTCAGATTTGTTGGGTCTACTCTAAGCTTAACCAGGGTTTATAGAGTAAATCAGGACAGACTTCCCTTGGAGCAGCGACCCCCAATCTTTTGGAATCAAGGACCGGTTCTGTCCGGTCCCTGATCCAACATTCACAAGATATATTTTTCTGTGGACGAGAGGGGTATGTGGTTTTGCATGCCGCCTGTCAGGGTTCCAAGTAACACCCCCAACGAAAGAAGACTCCGAGGCTTGAGTTTCCTCAAAGTTCCATTTTATTAGAGATGTCATATTGGCACATCTGGGAAAACCCGAATCTGAAAGCTTCCAGGTTTTCCCCACCCAAAGGAAAGTTCAAGTCCCTGCCCCAACACCCACATGTCCATCACATGGTCCAATCAGGCACCATCCAACACTGGAGATACCTCCCTATCCCCTCATTGCAGCTGCAGGGCACCTCGGCCTTGACTCTCTGAGAAAAGAATGTTATTTTGACTACAGATCGCCCATACTCCATACAATCCCCCCCTCCCATTTTCCCACGGTAGAAAATGTGGCAGGGCTGAAGGCCTAACTGTAAAAGATGGCTTCCAGGTCTGACACCGCCTGCATCCTGGGGCAGATGGGGCTTCATTTGTTTGCATGGCTCGGTTTCTGGCATGCTGTGGCCCGGTGCCAATCCATGGACTTGGGGAGGGAATTGGGGATCCCTGCCTTGGAGGCTCCCCTATAAGGCTCCCACCATCTCCTGCAATATCCAAGAGCAACTTCTTTGCAATAATTTTACAGATAACGTTAAGAGACCGGGTGACCGTTTCTTCTGCATTTGATGTTTGTTGGCTTTCTTTCTGTGTGTCTTGTGTATTTCCCTCTCCCGCCTCTTCAAAATCAGCCAGTCCTCCAGAGAAATGAAAGCGGCTTCTCACGTTCTTCAAATGACCTGGAGCTACAAAGAGTTAAGGAACGTTTTGCAGAAGGAAGGCTGGAATAAATCTCATTTTCAGGTAAGGAACCCCAGGCAGTTTGTAACTGAGAACTGCTAATAAGAGCTGAGAACCAGTTTGGTCTGGTCTGGTGGTTAAGGCACTAAGCTAGAAAGCAGGAGACTGTGAGTTCAACTCCCGCCTTAGGCATAAAAGCTGGCTTGGTTGACTTTGGGCCAATCACCAGGTGATAGTGAGTTCTAGTTCCACGTTAGACATGAAACCCAGTTGGTTGACTTTGGGCCAAACACCAGGTGATAGTGAGTTCTAGTTCCACGTTAGCCCTGAAACCCAGCTGGTTGACTTTGGGTCAATCACCAGGTGATAGTGAGTTCTAGTTCCACCTTAGCCCTGAAACCTAGCTGGTTGACTTTGGGCCAATCACCAGGAGATAGTGAATTCTAGTTCCACCTTAGCCATGAAACCCAGCTGGTTGACTTTGGGCCAATCACCAGGAGATAGTGAGTTCTAGTTCCAACTTAGCCATGAAACCCAGCTGGTTGACTTTGGGCCAGTCACCAGGTGATAGTGAGTTCTAGTTCCAACTTAGCCATGAAACCCAGCTGGTTGACTTTGGGCCAATCACCAGGAGATAGTGAGTTCTAGTTCCACCTTAGTTAAGCATGAAAGCTGGCTGGGTGACTGTTGGGCCAATCACTCTCTCTCTCAACCCAACCCACCTCACAGGGTGGTGGTTATGGGGGAAAATAGAAGGAGGAAGGTGTGTTGGATATATTCACCCCCTTGAGTTATTTGTAAAAACAATAAAGGCAGGATATAATAAAAAAAACAAATACATAAAAAAGAATAGATAGGAATTTAGCTCACGTTGGCCCCTGAAACATAGTCATTCCTTCGCATAGGCAAATAAAGACAGAATGCTATTGTCAACTGGCAAAGCACTCCTGGCCTGCTCTCGAGTTGCCATAAGCAAGGAGGATGGGAAACCAATGAAACGGAACGGCAGCCAAAGACAGATGCACATTCCAGACTTATCTCTCTCAAGGCTGTATCCCAGGGTTACTCACAGCGGCCGGAGGGGAGTGATCTCTACAACCCGCGAAATTGCTCTGTTGGTGAATGCAACTGATGACACACCCTGTGGGGAAGGGGGGAAACAGGGTCATGATTGGGGCTGTAAATTAGTGGGGGTCAGAGTTGGCTTCACTTGGGAACGTGCCGACAGGAAGCTCCTAATCAGTAACTGGATTTCTTTGGAAGCTTGGCTCGAGGCTCATGATTTAATTAGGGCATCCGTTGGAACCCTGACAGCTCTACTGCAAAATAATTTTACAAAAATGAATTCCCCGCATGAAGGAGATCCAGATCCATCAAGAATAAATCAAGACTAGATTAAAAAGTATATCTGCATTTATATTCTGTATTCTCAGGTGTAGGGAAAATATGATCATGTCATAGGGACACCAGCTATAAGTAGTCAGGCAGGGAAGAGAGTTGTGGGGGAGGGGGGGTTGGAAATGGCGTATTTCACAATCGTTTTTCAACATGGACTTTTGCTTTCTGCTTGCTCTTCGCACACAAACCGCTGATAATCGCCCCCTTTTTTTTTTTACATTCTAGACTGCCTCAGCAACTACGAAGGGATCCAAAAGTACCTCCTGTAAATCCGGATATGATGATAGCACGTTGCCCCTGGTGGATAAAAGCCAAGGTCTGTCTGTGCTTCTTTCTGACAGCTTAATTATGACTGGCTCCAAGTGGGATGAGATTTTACTTACCGTATTTTTTGGAGTACAAGACACACTTTTTTCCCTCCTAAAAGAGGCTGAAAATTTGGGTGCATCTTATACTCCGAATGTAACCCTGCATGTGCGGTGCCCAAAATGGCTACACGGAACAGCTGCTGCCTTCTCTTACCCCTTCTGCGCTTCACCCGCTTTAGTCACTGGAGCTCCCTCCGAGGATCAGCTGTGCTTTTGAAGCTGTTTTTCAGCCCCCAACGCGAGTGAAGCGATCTTCCATGCTTTGCCTGCTTTTCTAATTGCTGCTCCCTCCGACAATCAGCTGTCTTTAGAAGCTGTTTTTTAGCCCCAAGCGCGAGTGAAGCGATCTTCCGTGCTTTGCCTGCTTTTCTAATTGCTGCTCCCTCCGACAATCAGCTGTGCTTTAGAAGCTGTTTTTTAGCCCCAACGCGAGTGAAGCGATCTTCCGTGCTTTGCCTGCTTTTCTAATTGCTGCTCCCTCCGACAATCAGCTGTGCTTTAGAACTGTGTTTTTTAGCCCCAACCTGAGTGAAGCTATCTTCCGTGCTTTGCCTGCTTTTCTAATTGCTGCTCCCTCCGACAATCAGCTGTGCTTTAGAAGCACATCCCCAACCATCCCCAACCTCAAAACCAGCAAGCGAACTAATGTGCTGGGGCTGGCCAGATGAATACCTAGTAGGTAGAATTCCCCCCCCCCCGCCATTTTCCTCCCCAAAAACTAAGGTGCGTCTTATACTCTGAAAAATATGGTATTTAACTGCGTTTTGATATCATCTTAGGGGCAATTGCGTTCTATGTCCTGGACTTGGATCCCACACAAACCGAGTTCCATTTCTTCCTTTTTATAGATAACGAGAAGACCGGAAGCCGGGATATGATTCCAATGGATGAGCTTGGACCAGGTAATGGTGGATAAAACCTACCCCAGTCGCTGTTGGTTGTCAGGGTTCCAAGTAACATACCCAGAGCAAACAAAACTCTGAGGCAGGCAGATTCCTCAATTGGATATGTCATATTGGCACAGACTTGGTGAAAACCGACTCTGAACATTCCCACAGTTTTCACCTAATTAAAAGTAGAAGTTTTTCACTTTCTTAAAATGATCAGTCACCTGGTCCAATCAGGATACAGTCCAGTTGCTAGGTGACTCCAGTCCCCTCCTTCGAAGCACCTGCAGGAATGTCCTTGGTTCCCAAGAGAAAGTATTTTGCTTTGACTACAATACCCCAACTATCTCTATTCTCCCCCTCCCTATCCTTCAGCTCCAGTGTGTCAGCACTGAAGTCTCAAAATGACCTCAGTCAGGCCAGCTTCAGGGTTGACATTGGTACTGTAATCAAGCCTGTCACTCATTCTGGACTTTCACGTATTCTCCAGAAGTTTACTCAGCAGAATAGCTGTCATCCATCCCCAATGTAAGTCTTTTCAATGGTAGTGACAGTAGCAGAACCTTGCCAATCTGACTATGCTTAACTATGCCTTCACCCCCTTATACTCATGTGAACTAAGGAGGGTGTCTATCTGAGTTTCTTGTACATGCCTTTTTGTTTGGAGCATTAGATAGATAGATGATAGATAGATAGATAGATAGATAGATAGATAGATAGATAGATAGATGATGATAGAGTGAGCTAGATAGCTAGGGCAGGTAGGTAGGTAGGTAGAGATAGGTAGGTAGGTAGGTAGAGGTAGGTAGGTAGGTAGGTAGGTAGGTAGGTAGGTAGATAGATAGATAGATAGATAGATAGATAGATAGATAGATAGATAGATAGATAGACAGACAGACAGACAGACAGACAGACAGAGATAGATAGATAGATAGATAGATAGATAGATAGATAGATAGATAGATAGACAGACAGACAGACAGACAGACAGACAGACAGACAGACAGACAGGTTAGGTAGATAGATATAGATGATAGACAGACAGACAGACAGACAGGGTAGGTGGGTAAGATAGATAGATAAGACAGACAGACAGACAGACAGACAGGATAGATAGATAGATAGATAGATAGATAGATAGATAGATAGATAGATAGGTAGGTAGATAGGTAGATAGGTAGATGTACATTGTACATGTTACATGTACATGTACATGTAGATGTAGACCGTGTTTCCCTGAAAATAAGACCCTGTCTTATATTTTTTTTTGAACCCCAAAGTAAGCACTTGGGCTTATTTTCGGGGAGGTCTTATTATTTTGGGGCGCGTGGAGCAAGATGGGGCTCCTCTTGCCATCCTACCTGATTTCCAGCTCTGCATTTAAATATTTTCGGGCAGGGCTTATTTTCGGGGGGAGGCTTATTTTAGTGCATAAAGCCTGATTGGGCTTATTATCAGGGGGTGTCTTATTTTCGGGGTCGTGCCGAGGGCAAAGCCTTGATACTTGAAGAGGTTTTGTGATGGTGGTGAAATTGGAGGAGAAGGTGATCAGCCAACATTTAGATTGTTGTGGTTAGTTGCGAAGTCATGTCCGACCCATCACAACCCCATGGACAATGTTCCTCCAGGTTCTTCTCCAGGGAGTCCTTCCTTCTCATTAGGTGGCCAAAGTATTTGAGTTTCATCTTCAGGATCTGGCCTTCTAAAGAGCAGTCAGTCAGAGTTGATCTCCTCTAGAACTGACTGGTTTGATTGCCTTGCAGTCCAAGGGGACTCAACAGGAGTCTTCTTCAGCACCAGAGTTCAAAGGCCTCCATTCTTTGGAGCTCAGCCTTCCTTATGGTCCAACTTTCACAACATTTAGAAAAGAGGCAGCTTAGCCCACAGGAGACATGGGGCATGGCAAAAATCTCAAAAGGGACCTTCCTTGTAAAAGTGAGGGTGGAGATATATATTTTCAGACTTGCAAGATTCTGCTACTGTAAACTTACAGTAAATGTATATAGTACATCTAGTCCTCAACTTACAACAGTTCACTTAGAAACCATTCAAAGTTAAAACGGCACTGAAAAAAAGTGATTTATGACCGTTTTACTCACTTATGACCGTTGCGGCATTCCCGTGGTTTGATGTGATCAAAATTTGGACACTTGGCAAACTGGTTCGTATTTATGACAGTCACAATGTCCCATGGTCCTTGAGTTGGCTTCTGACAAGCCAAGTCAACGGGGAAGCCAGTTGATGGTTAACGACCATGCTACTAATTTAACAACTACTGCGATTCACTTAGCAACTCTTGGCAAGAAAGTTTTGGCCCACCAACAGCCAGTGGAGCTGGCAGCAGATTCAGACAGTGAGGAGGTTGGGGAGGAACATGGGCCAGTTCTGGAGTCTGGGGAAGGCTCTGATGAGGTCTCTGCATCGGAGGCAGAGATGGGGCCAGGGCTATCTGACAGTTATCAGCTGCCTTCGGAGTCAGATATCAGTGGGGCAGAAGAACAGCTGGAGCCTGTTCCCAGTATGTGCATGCGCAGAGTTGCCAAATGAAGGGAACAGCTAAGGAACAAGGGTCAACTTGGGAGTAAGGCCACAGGTGGACGATGAAGGGCCCTTCCCAGAGGGAATAAAAGAGGAGCGACAGGGGAGTGGAGTTTGCAGGAGGCAATTTAGTTTATTCCTGCATTTTTGCCAAGTATTGCGGCGTCTGAAAGATATCGCCCTGGCCCCTCTCAAGGTCAGTAATTGTGAACTATCTTGGAAGACTGTGGGAGAGGAAAGACTTTGCTGGAGAGGAATTCACTGTAAATTAAATAAAAGGGGTTTTTCGGGATGAGGACTCGGCTTCGTGCTGCTGAGGGAAGCCTAGGTCAGAACAAGTAAAATGGGGCAAACTCACTCAACAAACAAAACTGACTTCACAAGCAACAGAAAATTTTGGGCTCAATTGTGGTTGTAACTGGAGCGTAACTCGTGATTGATGCTTCATGTCTGGGCTACCTCTTAAAGTCTGACAGGTATTGGCCAAGTTGTATATGGGAACTCATTTCTGGCCTGGCAACTGCTCTCTTTCCAACCAGCTTCTGTTCTTCACAGATGGCTACTCCACCATCGATCACCGGGACAAGGAGCGGAAATACAAAACCAACGACAACATGGGAGACGCATCGGAGAAAGAACCCCTAAAGGTAAGCAGCTCCCCTGTTCTGATCCAGCTCCCCAAACACAACAAACCCTCTGAAGTTAAATCAATGATTCCTTCATTAGGAGCGCCAGAAGTCCTGGCAAATAGTTTCTCTCTCAAAGCAGGCTAACAAGTCTGCCCGGCAGGGAGATGAATAGTTGTCTGTCACCTCTATTCATCTCCGCCCCCTGCCTTTTATCCCCAGAGCTAGGGTGGGGCTTCGCTAGCAGCGGTGGTTCTCCAGTCCCAAGGACCGTCCCATAGATTTCCACTGCTCTCCTCTCCTCTGCCTTCTGCTCATCTGCATGTCAGGCACTGGACCCAGCTGTTCCTCCTCTTCCTCATCAGCCACCTCCAGACCTGGGGGCTGTTGACTCTCCATCTGAGGGCTGATGCACAGCCTGTCTCTCTCTCTCAGAGAGCTCCATTCCCTCTTCGCCCTCAGAGCTCTCAGGTTGCCTTGATGCTGATCCTGACTCCCACCCCTCCTCCTCATCTGATTCGACTGCTGGAGGGGCCGGCGGCCAACAGGCCACAACCAGCTCCCTTTGGAGCCCGTTTCCTTGCAAAGCTGCCTTTGGTCTGCCCTGCATTTGCAGGAGGGAGCAAGGCAGAGCGTGTGTCCGCTTCCAAGCGACTGTCACTATGAGTGGCAATGACATTGGAGCGGAAGGCGTTTCCTAGTGCTCCTCACGGCCCACTTCTGACAATCGTAGGGTTGCAAGGAAGGCGTTGTCCCTTGTAAGGCAGGCGCAATCTCTTTTTTAAAAAATACATATTCTTAGTTTGTTCAAAACGAAGTTAAAATACAAAGGACAAAACTCAAAAAAAGAATCCAAGAAGACAAAAAAGAAAAAACGCACAAAACAATCAAAGCATAAAAAAGGTACATCAAAAAAAAACCACACACACACACACACACACACACACACATTAAAGGTAAAGGTAAAGGTTCCCCTCGCACATATGTGCTAGTCGTTCCTGACTAGAGGGCGGTGCTCATCTCCGTTTCAAAGCCGAAGAGCCAGCGCTGTCCGAAGACGTCTCCGTGGTCATGTGGCCGGCATGACTCAACGCCAAAGGCGCACAGAACTCCATTCCCTTCCCACCAAAGGTGGTCCCTATTTTTCTACTTGCATTTTTAACCTGCTTTCAAACTGCTAGACTGGCAGAAGCTGGGACAAGTCACGGGAGCTCACCCCATTACGTGGCACTAGGGACTCGAACCACTGAAGTGCCGACCTTTCTGATCAACAAGCTCAGCATCTTAGTCACTGAGCCACCACATCCCTTGACACATTATATACATTATACACATATTATTCCCTCTAGCACAGGGGTGTCAAACTCAAGGCATGTGGGGGGGGCGAATACGGCCTGTAGGTGGTTAAATCTGGCCCTGGAAACAGTGAAGGACCGGTCTGCGGTGCCTCTGCAAAGCAAAAACGGAGCTCGGGAGGCCTGCAGGCAGCCCACTGCCCACTTCGCTGGCAGAGGGTTGCAGGAGGCTGTTGCAGCCAAAAACGGAGCTCAGGAGCCTGTTTTCGCTGGCAGAGTGCTGTGGCCACCACAGGTGCCCCCGAAACAAGTGACATTGAGCTGGCCACACCCACCCTGGCCACACACACGCCGCCCCCAGGTCAAACACAACCCTGATGCGGCCCTCAATGAAATCGCGTTTGACACCCCTGCTCTAGCAGAATACTAATTAATATACTACTACAATATTAGTTCCCGCCCATTGCAAAGCAAGCAATTATCTCTAATTTTCTAAATGACTACATCTGTTTGCAACTTGCTAGCCTGTCTTCCACATGTTGTATTAAGGACCAAGTAGTGAACTGGACGAACAATAACAGGGGGAGCAGAACAAAATTAAAAGTTTCGAAACTCCCTCTTCACAAGCTGTTTGTTCTGACCTAGGCTTTCCCCGGCAGCACGAAGCCGAGTCTTCGTCCCGATAAACCCCTTTTATTTAATTGACAGTGAATTCCTCTCCAGCAAAGTCTTTCCTCTCCCACAGTCTTTCAAGATAGTTCACAATTATCAACCTTGATCAGGCTTGGAGAGTGGCCAGGCCGATATCTTTCAGACGCCGCAATACTTGGCAAGGATGCAGGAATGAACTAATTGTCTCTTGCAAACTCCACTCCCCTTTCGCTCCTCTTTTATTCCCTCTGGGAGGGGCCCTTCATTGTCCACCTGTGGCCTTACTCCCAAGTCGACCCTTGTTCTTTAGCTGTTCCTTTTGTCTGGCAACTCTGCGCATGTGCACACTGGGAACAGGCTCCAGCTGTTCGTTTGCCTCACTCCGAAGGCAGCTGATAACTGTCAGACGGCCCTGGTCCCCTCTCTGCCTCTGACGCAGAGCCCTCATCAGAGCCCTCCCCAGACTCTAGGACTGGCCCATGTTCCTCCTCAACCTCCTCACTGTCTCAATCTGCTGCCAGATCCTCTGGCTGCTGGCAGGCCACAATACTGTTATTATAATCGACTCCTAGAAAAGTTGACCATCTATCCCCGAATCTACCCAAAAGTTATAAACAGATCCTCCTGGGACAAATATCGGGTGTAAACTCTTTGTGTTGGACTTGGTGTGTGCAGCCTTCCTCAGGGCTGACAACCACATTTGTCCTTGAACTAGGGGTCCAAACCTTTGTAAACATTCCTTTGGTCCGGTGTCCACCAGGCAGGAAATATTGGTGAGGTTTCGGTGCCATATTTCACTCTCTGGTCAAGCTTGCTACAGCTGCTGTCGTAACACAAACAAAAAACACACACACTACCCACTTCTTCTGATGCATGCATACACCGGAGTTTAACGTTGTTAATTGTCCAGCAGTTGTTCATGAGTACAGATAGACCTCGACTTATGACACAGTCAACCTTCAGATGCTCAGCAACCGACTTGTATTCCTGGCGGTCACAGCGTCCCCGGGGGGGGGGGGCGTGTCCCGCGATCCCTTTTCTGCAACCATTCCGACAAGCCAGATTCGCTTAACAGCCTGTGTGACTAACTTAACTCCCTGCAGGGATCCACTTAACAACCGCGAGAGCAAGAGAAGGTCGTAAAGTGAGGTGAAGCTCACTTAGCTCACTCGCTTAGCGAGAAGAGAAAATTGGGGCTCCCTTGCGGTCGTCAGTCAAGGACTACCTACATCCCGCGGCTCACGGAGCCATAGTTTTGAGTGTCAACCCCACGCCTGCTTACTCCGGTCTTGCTCGGCCTTCCCAATCACGGTGGACGTTTGCCGTGGGCTGTCCTGAGATCCTCTGTTTCTCTTTCTCCGTGATTCCCTGTCTCGGCACTAATGCTTCCTTGCAGACCTTTGGAATGGATGGGTTTGTTTTTCTCCGCCGGTCCGTTTGATCGTTTTAATCCTGTTGTGTTTTGCCTTTTGTTTCTTTTAACGCCTCGCCCCGTGCTTGCTGCAGAATGACACAAATAGGAAAACGCTTACCAGGAGCAACAGGCCTTCCGTGACTCTGGTGGACACACGAGATACTAAGCCCCAACCTGTTGACTCCTGGGTCTAACATTGTGCATGCATGGTAGGTTCGGTTTTTTTTTTCACAATCGTTGGCAATGGTGATTAACTTGTCTCCGTTTCTGCATGACACCCCACCCCCTCCCCGCTGCATCGTGGCTTGTTCTCTCTCTCTCTCTCTCTCTCTCTCCGTTGATCTGGCACCCTTCTGAGATAGAGGCAGGTGTAAAGAAGGCAGCTGAGAGACCTTGGTGGCCCAGGGGTTAGAATGCAGTATTGCAAACTAACTCTGCCCACTGTCAGCAGTTCGATCCTGACCGGCTCAAGGTTGACTCAGCCTTCCATCCTTCCGACGTTGGTAAAATGAGGACCCTGATTGTTGGGGGCAAGAGGCTGACTCTGTAAACCGCTTAGAGAGGGCTGTAAAACACTGTGAAGCAATATATAAGTCTAAGTGCTATTGCTATTGTTCTTCCGTTTCCCCTTCCTTCCTTCCTTCCTTCCTTCCTTCCTTCCTTCCTTTCTTCCTTCCTTCCTTCCTTCCTTCCACCCATCCATCCATCCATCCATCCATCCATCCATCCATCCATCCATGGTGCACAATGGTTAGAATGCAGTATTGCAAACTAACTCTGCCCACTGTCAGCAGTTCGATCCTGACCAGCTCAAGGTTGACTCAGTCTTCCATCCTTCCGAGGTTGGTAAAATGAGGACCCTGATTGTTGGGGGCAACAGGCTGACTCTGTAAACCGCTTAGGGCTGTAAAACACTTTGAAGCGGTATATAAGTCTAAGTGCTATTGCCCTTCCTTCCTTCCTTCCTTCCTTCCTTCCTTCCTTCCTTCCTTCCTTCCTTCCTTCAACCCACCCATCCATCCACCCATCCACCCATCCATCCATCGTGCACAATGGTTAGAATGCAGTATTGCAGGCTGACTCTGCCCACAGCCAGGAGTTCGATCCTGACCGGCTAAACCGGAAGATGATCTTCCTGCCGCATGCTTGTGCACCGGCGGCTGCTCTTCCAGTTTCTGGCACTCCCACATGTGTGAAGACCAGCTGGCTCGTGTGCCGGAACCGGGAAGAGTAATGAGCGATAGCTCGCGTGCCCGGAGAGATGCCTCTGTGTGCCACTTCCGGCACGCGTGCCATAGGTTTGCCATCATGGCCCTATATGTTGGTTTTGCATGGAGAGGGCCTAGTATTCTTCTCTCTTCTGTTGGCTGCGAAACCTACCATATTTTTCGGAGTATAAGACGCACCTTTTTCCCCCCAAAAAAGAGACTGAAAATATGGGTGCGTCTTATACTCCGAATGTAGCCCTCCCAGCTTCTCAAACGGAGGTTTCAGAGGCTGAAAAAAAGCATCAGAAACAGAGCTTCAGAAAAAGCCTCCAAACAGAGCTTCAGAAAAAAAAGCTCCCAAACAGAGCTTCAGAAAAGAGCCCCCCAAACAGAGTTTCAGAGGCTTTTTTTCTGAAGCTCTGTTTTGGAGGCTTTCAGAAGCAGGAAAAAAAAAAGCAAGAAAAAGCAAGGCACAGAGCTCACAATCAAGGAACCTATTGCTAAAATTCAGCTGATTGGGGGTATTCCGGGAGGCCGATCCACCCGCCAATCAGCTCTTTTCTTATTTTCCTCCCCAAAAACTAAGGTGCGTCTTATACTCTGGTGCGTCTTATACTCGGAAAAATACGGTTACCTCACCATCTCTGTTCTTGAAATTAACCTTCCTTGATTCTTCTTTCTGCAGGGCTAAAAATCCAGCCGCTTGTTTTACGATTCTTGTTGTCCTTGTTTCCCCTCGACTCAAAGAAGACTCGACAAACAAACACACACACACAGAGACACAACACACACAGAGACAAAAACACACGGACACAAAAGGTTTGCATTTTACCCATCACTGCCATTCTGACTGCAGAATCGGTGAAAGCAGCCAAAGCTGAAAACTTTTGAAGGTTGAGGAGAACATCCATCCGCTAGCCTCTGGAGGGCTCGCTCGACCAAACCTCACCCTTTCCCATCCAGGAAAAGAAAAAAGAAAGAAAGAAAAAAGAAGAAGAAGAAGGCAAAACGGAAAATGCATCTCTGTCTCTCTCTCTCTCCACCATCCGGCAGGAGGAATCACAATTCCCGAAAGAGAAATGGCAAGTTCAGGCCAGCCGGATTTCGTTCTTCGTGGAACTCTTCAGCGTAGAAGGTGTCAAGTTGGGAGGTGAAGGTCTAGAGAAGAGGAAAGGGGAGGTGGGGACAAAAAAGAAAAGAAAAGAACCAAAAAAGTGTTCTGAATGAAAAACCCCAGGATATTTGATATGATAAGTATAGTTATTTTTTAAAAAGGCACTTTTTTCTCTCTCCCTCCCTCCCTCCCTCCTTTCTTTCTTTCTTTCTTTCCCACCTCTTCTTTCCTTTCTTCATTTATTCCTTCCTTCTCTTCCTCCCCTTCCTTCACTCTCCTCTTCTTTCCTTCCTTCTCTCTGTCCCTCCCCTCCGTTCCTTTCTTCATTGCTTCCTTCCTTCTCTCCTTCACCTCCCTTTCTTTCTTTCCTTCCTTCCTTAACTCCTTTCCTTCCTTTCCTTTCTTTTTGCTTCCTTCCTTCTCTCCCTCACCTCCCACTTCCTTTCTTTCCTTCCTTCTCTCCCTTCCCTCCTTTCCTTTCTTTATTCCTTCCTTCCTTCTCTCTCTCACCTCCCACTTTCTTTCCTTCCTTCCTTCCTTCTCTCCCCTCCTTTCCTTTCTTTATTGCTTCCTTCCTTCTCTCCCTCACCTCCCTCTTTCTTTCTTTCTTTCCTTCCTTCCTTCTCTTCCTTCCCTTCCCTCCTTTTCTTTCTTTATTGCTTCCTTCCTTCTCTCCCTTCCTTCCTTTCCTTCCATTCTTCCTTCCTTCCTTCCTTCCTTTTTCTTTCCTTCCTGTGAATTTTTAAAAGAGAAAACCGAGATCGAGGGCGATGGGTTTTTTTTTCTTTTCTTTTCAAACCTTCTCCCTTTTTTGGGGGTGTGTGTGCCATTGTTAAATTTTTCCTTTTGATCCTCAGTTGTGGGGGTGGGGGGGGAAACACAGAAGTTGTGCTGAGTTGGAGAGGTTTGGATGCAAAGAGAGAAAGGAAAACCGAAGACCAAACGAACATGGGTCTGTCAGGCTTGAGGGGAGGGGGCTAAAAGGACGCAAGCCAACATTGACGTGAGCTCCAATCTGCTATTCACGTTAAGACCATCCCACGGTGCTTCTCTGTTATTATTCTTGGTGTACCATCCTTCTCCCTTTCTGACTTTTCTGCCCTGATTTTGGACACGGGAACCGATGTGCAAATGGCGAAAAAGAAACTAAGAGAAATCTCAAACTCGGCGTCGCTGATTTCTCCCGGTGGACGATGGCTTTCTTAATTCCCAATCGGTTCTAATGTCCAATGAGATCTCCGCTGATCTAATTTTCCCCCCATCCTGAACCACAACATCCGTTAACCTTATACCATCTACCACGGACAGCGCTTTTGATTTCAAAAAAAAGAACTTTTTTTTAGCGTCAGGTCGAAGCTAACACCATCCATTCTTTCTGTCGTTTTCATCCGAAACCGCTCCCTTCCGTCTCCCATGTTTTATTTTCACTAAGCTTTTAACAAAGATATATATATATATATATATATATATATATACATACACATATATATATTGACTTGCTGTTGATTGGGTTTTTTTAAAAAAAAACAAAAGAAAATAAAAACAAAAAGGCAAAAATATCCACCTATGGATATAATAAAAGTTTAGGTCTTAAGTCATCCCAGAGACCTGATAGTAACTTCCATCGAACTAAAAGAGTAGGAGCACTAATAGTCTGTAATTAGGGTTGTATACTCAAGAAAACCAACATTCGTGGGTGAACGCTGGCCTGCGGTTTCATTGCCATCCGGGATTCAATCGAGGCATACAATCATCATCTATTCCCGTACGCGCGGTGTATAGAGGTAGTCCTTGACTTACGACCCCTCAACCGAGCCCCAAAATTGCTAAGCCAAGTGAAGTTTGCCCCATTTTACAAAACCTTTCTGCCACCGTCGTTAAGCGAATCACCGCAGGTCTGGAGCGAATCTGGCTTCCCCATTGATTTCGCTTGTCAGGAGCTCCCTGTGACCGGGATATGACTGAGTTATGACTGAGACTGTCATAACTATGAGCCAGTCGCCAACAATCCAAATTTTGATCACATGACCATGGAGATTCTGGCAACGGTCGTAAGTGTGAAAAACAAGTCAAGAGTCATTGTCACTTCAAACGGTCACAAAACGAATACTTGTAAATCAAGGACTACTTGTAGTCGTCTTTTGAGTTTTAACCATGTTAATTTCTCGGGGGGGGAGGGGGGGTGTTTAAGTCTGTGATTAGAAAAGAAAAGCTGGATTTTCATTTTTATTATTTTTGGGGATTCCGTTGGCTTGTCTCTTTTCATGGTTGCTGAAAAAATGATTGGGTTGCCCTATTTACCGAAACGGTGTGGTTTTTGGAAAGCACATTTCTCGTTCATTTCTGTTCTTCTTGTTGTTGGTTTTCAATCCAGCCAATTTTCATTTGAGAGATTTTTTTTTTTCGGTGCCTGCTGTGTCCTTTGTAATTTAAACATGAAAAAAAAAAAGGGGGGGGGCGGGGTGGGGGGGTGGGTTGGGACAGCGGGAGGGAGAATAAAACACAACAGAAATTTCCTGTATTCATTAAGCATCTCAAATTTTTGTAAAAAAATAAATTAAAAAAAATTAAAATCCATTTTTAAAAAAGCGAGGGGAGGGAAAGACAATATTAACAAAAAAGGGGGTAGGCGAGCAGGTGGGCGGGCAGAAAGCCTCAAAAGCTTTGTATCTTCTGGAATATAAAAGAAAAAATAAAATAAAATTTGACATGAATGACATATATAAATAAATATCTATATCTCTATATATTGTTGTGCAGAAAAAAAAACTAGGTTGCCAAACTTAAAAATAACCTTTGTAGCAAAGAAAAGCATTTTTTTTTTTGGTTTTTGTCCTTCGATTCAGGGAAATCGGCCGGTGCTGTTTTAGCAATCTGAATGATAACAGAGACAATATTTTACCGCTGGGACTTCTTCCCCTTCGACGTCTCGATTCCAAGTTGCTTTTTCAATAATTGTAAAAAAAAAAAAAAAAAGTTACGATCCTTCGCAGCATCGTCCAGCCTTTTCCGTACGGATCGATTTTGATTCGAAACTCCTTCGAACGGTGCTTTTATTTCCCTTTCATATTTCTACTCTTGATAGCCGGAAAACACCTTTCTTAACGGAAGCTGTACATTTTTATACCATCTTTAAAACTCAGATATACGTCTTTTCTTTCTTTCTTTCTTCTTTCTTTTTCGTATACGAACATCGGGAGGGGTTCAGTTTTTCTTTGCTTGGTTTCTTATAAAATATTAAAAAAAGGGGGAGGGAATGTCATCTGCATGCTTTTTTTTTTTTTTTAGCAAAATTGAGTGCGCTCACTTTTAGACTGAATGGAAGGAAGGGGGCAGGAGTCAGCAATCTGTAGCTCTGGAGCCGCACGTGGCTCTTTCTTCCCTCTGCTGCGGCTCCCTGTCGCTGGTTGGCTCCACAATTGATAGGGCTTTCGGTTAGGGCAGGTAGAGGAAAAAGGATGCCGCGCTAGGAGGAGACTCCATGGTGGGGGAACTGGGCTTCCGGTCAGCAGAGGAAAAATGGCGCCACACTAGGAGGAGTCTCTATGGTGGGGGAACTGGACTTCCAGTCAGCTCCATAATTGAATGCGGAGCTTTTGGTTAGGACCTTTGGGGCTCTTTGAGTGTTTAAGGTTGCAGACCCCTGCTCTAGGGTTAGGGCTTAAAAATCAATACAGGTAGTCCTCGACTTAACGACTGCAATTGAGCCCCAGATTTCCATTGCTGGAGCAAGTGAATCTGCTTGCTTCATTAAGTGAATCTGGCTTCCCCGCAGTGACCCAGGACACTGCATCCGTCGTAAATATGAGTCATTTGTCAAGTCTCGATCTCATGAACATGGGGAAGGGGGTGGAAGTAGTCATCGGTCACTTTTTCCCAATGCCGTTATAACTTTGAACGGTCACTAAATGAAGTTAAGTCAAGGACAATCTGTCTGACCCTGATTTGGTTGCTAGAGTTATTTTTTATTTTTTTAAATTTTATTTTAAAGCTTGCATGAGCCCAGTGACATTTTGGAGAACTATCTGGGTAGCATTTTTTGTAAAAAAATAATAAATAAAAATAAACCAGCCATCACTCAGCTGTTCTGATCACTTGTGGCAGGAAGGAAGTTGAAGGCCGGCGGAGATAAAACAAGAGAAATATAGAAGGAACCATTTTATTCCCTTCTACGACTGGGTAAAAACTCTCCATGGAATGCAATTATCTTCTCCCTGCCCCCCCAGTAGTTTTTATTTTATGTTCTGTAGATTTCTCTTTTTCTCCAGATGTTCGCGTTCCTAGGAGACATTCCTGGTAGCATCTAATTGTGTGACGGGTGTAAAAAAAATTGCAGAAAGTTAACAGATTGCGAAGAAAAGGGACAGAGAGGAGAAAATCGGAAATATAGGCTGCATGGAGGCCAGAACACATCTGGCATGGGGGGGGGGAATACATACCTCACTTTGTCCACCACCCCATCCAAAAAATTTAAGAGCCATCCAGCATGCAGATGTTCCAAAAGATAGAAAAGGAATTATTTATTTTGGATGCAGGTAAGTGCAGGGCGCACACGGAGGCTCGGGAAGGGCAAAAAATGGGCCTACCGAAAGTTCGGAAAAGCCGGAAACGGGCTGTTTCCAGCCTGGGGAGGCCGTTTTCACCCTCCCGGGGACTCAAGAAAAGCCTCCGGAACCCGGGGAGGGCAAAAACGCCCCACCCACCATTGTGGGGCAGGAGGCCGATTAGGCCACACCCACCATGGCCACGCCCACCCAGCAACCAGGCAGAGATCCCCTTGCTAAAATTTCTGAAGCCCACCCGTGGTGAAAGGCCATTGCACACCACTGCTAAGACGTAATTTTTGTTTCCGCATTGTTGAACTGTGAGCATCTCTGAGATGAGAGTATCCGTTCTCTTCTTTGTCTCATTTGGAGGTTAGGGAACCAGAGTGGGCTGCGGGCACCCTGTCTAGATTTCATTTGTCCACAACGAAACGCAGAGACATTACCCTGCCAACAAAAGTGCGTATAGTCAAGGCTACGGTTTTCCCAGTTGCAATGGATGGCTGTGAAAGTTGGACCATAAGGAAGGCTGAGCGCCAAAGAATGGAGGCTTTTGAACTGGAGAAGACTCCTGCGAGTCCCTTGGGCTGCAAGGCCATCCAATCGGTCAGTCCTAGAGGAGATCAACCCTGACTGCTCTTTAGAAGGCCAGATCCTGAAGAGGAAACTCAAATCCTTTGGCCACCTAATGAGAAGGAAGGACTCACTGGAGAAGAGCCTAATGCTGGGAAAGACTGGGGGCAAAAGAAGAAGGGGACGGCAGAGAAGGAGGTGGCTGGATGGAGTCACTGAAGCAGTAGGCGTGAGCTTAAATGGACTCCAGAGGATGGTAGAGGACAGAAAGGCCTGGAGGAACATTGTCCATGGGGTCGCGATGGGTTGGACACGACTTCGCAACTAACAACAACAACCCCAAATCATCTTTGTTGCTCTTCTCTGCACTCTTTCTAGAGTCTCAACATCTTTTTTATATCATGGCGACCAAACTGGATGCAGGATTCCAAGTGTGGCCTTACCAAGGCATTATAAAGCTATTCCACTGATTGATTGCTCTCACCGTTAAGAAATTTCTCCTTAGTTCTAGGTTGCTTCTCTTCTTGGTTATCCCAAAGGTTTCTTTCTTTCTTTCTTTCTTTCTTTCTTTCTTTCTTTCTTTCTTTCTTTCTTAACTGGACTTTCTGTTTTTTCTTTCAAGACGTTTTGCTTTCGAGAGCTGAAGAAGCTTCTTGGATGAGAAGCAAAACTTCTTCAAAAAAAAGCAGAAAGTACAGTGAATTTTTTTTAAAAAGCACTTTTGGGAAAACCATGACCTGTTTGACTGAGTCTTTCCATAGTCACTTTCCTTGGTTAGTTTCCAACCATTGTTTCTTGTCTTGCCTTTTGGTGCTTTGGGAAATAGATTGACTCCCCCCCACCTTCATCTTTGTAGGAGCCCCTCTGATATTGGAATTGTGCTATCAAATATTGAAATGTTTTCAACTCCCAGAATTCCCCAGGCTGCATGCTGGTCCACATACCTTATAAAGCCATGAAGGTTGAGAAAGATTGTTCTGCTTCACAAGACTCCAGAATAAAAAAAAAACAAGGAACATTACTTTTTTTTCTCTGATTTGCTTTGAACATATAATCAAGGGATGCTAAGGACTCCCCTTCCCGATTCCCACAATAGAACACTGTAGGAACGTGAGCGGGTACCACTCTGTCCCCCCCCCAGGAGCCCAAATTTGTAATGCTGGTTGTGAGCTCCACCTTTTGTAGTCCATAAACCAGGGGTGTGAAACTCGATTTCATTGAAGGCTGCATCAGGGTTGTGTTTGACCTCGTGGGGGCCAGGGTGTGTGTGGCCAGCTCGACGTCACTTGTGTTGGGGGTGCCTGTGGTGGCCCAAGCGCTCTGCCAGCAAAAACGGGCTCCCAAGCTCTGTTTTTGGCTGTGACAGCCACCTGCAGCCCTCTGCCAGTGAAAACGGAGCTCAGGAGGGCTTCCCGTGGCCCTCTCAAGCTCCGTTTACAGCTGCAACAGCCTCCTGCAGCCCTCTGCCAGCGAAAACGGAGCAGAGGAGGGCCTCCCGCAGCCCTCTCAAGCTCCGTTTTCAGCTGCGATGGCCTCCTGCAGCCCTCTGCCAGCAAAAACGAGAGCAGAGGAGGGCCTCCCACAGTCCTCTCAAGCTCCGTTTTCAGCTGCGATGGCCTCCTGCAGCCTCTGCCAGCAAAAACGGAGCAGAGGAAGGCCTCCCGCAGCCCTCTCAAGCTCCGTTTACAGCTGCAACAGCCTCCTGCAGCCCTCTGCCAGCGAAAACGGAGCAGAGGAGGGCCTCCCGCAGCCCTCTCAAGCTCCCGTTTTCAGCTGCGATGGCCTCCTGCAGCCCTCTGCCAGCAAAAACAGAGGTCAGGAGTGCCAACTGTGGCCCTTTCAAGCTCCATTTTCGGCTGCGACGGCCTCCTGCAGCCCTCTGCCAGCAGAAACGGAGCTCAGGAGAGCCTCCCATGGTCCTCCCGAACTCTGTTTTCACTGGCAGAGGCACCGTGGGCCGGTCCTTTGCTGTTTCCAGGGTGGCCCCGTGGACCAGATCTAAGCACCTTGTGGGCCGGCTGATACCCCTGCCATAGACCCTCAAAAAGGCTGAAGTGGTCTCGGCAGTTTGTTTTTGTTTTTTTTTAAGCTGTGATCAAGAAAGCAAATGTCTGTAAGCAAAGTGTACGATTGGACAGAGAAGGGAATTCAGTTCAGCCCTCCAAAGGATGGACAGATCAGACTCGATCCCCGTTTGAAGACCTGTTCAAGTTTAGAGCATTCCGTTGATGGATTCCCATTGTTGATGCAGTTCAGGTCGCTCAATAAATCCACTTTTTTTAAAAAAAAAAATTCGGTCCTCGCGTGGATCTAATCTGAAAAGTTGTTACG